TCTCTCTCTCTCTCTCCTCCTCCTCCTCCTCCTCTCTCTCTCTCTCTCTCTCTCTCTCTCTCTCTCTCTCTCTCTCTCTCTCTCTCTCTCTGTGGATAGTTTCGGATAGCGTATGAAGTTCTCAATAACTTTTTCAAAGAATTATTAATAATTGTTTATTTGGTTCTTGCTTGTGCAAGGAATGAAGCGTCTTTTTGAATAAGGATTTTAGCTTTACTGTAAAGCATGAAACTCATTACTATGGTAAAAATTAAGCCATCTTTATTATGCTCGTTATGGTTTGAATAAAATTGGCAATATTTTCTTATAAGTTAGTTACGAAATCTTGCTCACTGCAACAGTAGATATTTAAGTTAAGTGCAACTTGAATTGACACTTATATGATCCATTAAGAAAGAGACAACTCATCTCAATTTCATTCACTGTTTTCCTTCCTCTTATCGCACAAAATATGGTAGTGACGATTGAGCATGTTATCCATAGTAATGAGAAGAATCGATCACGAAGCATTAGATAGTGTTTCAAAAGCGTATGAGAATCAATTTATCAATGAAAATACTTTGAATCAATATAAGGGAATATTTTAGTACGGCACAGAAGTGATAATATCAAATGGTATAAAACTGGACATTAATCTATTATACTAGAGTTACAAATTGATACAGAGCATATTGTAATCACTGTTTGGTTATGATTTATTATTACTGCTATCACCACTTACTACCAAAATACCTCCACAGATATTAGCATGAGTTATGATTGTGTTTTTCCGATTATTCTGATAAAGACACTGAAAAATATGGTTCCTGCGGATGAAATAAAATCCCTGCACTGCAAGTTATCAATACATCCCTCTCATGTCACCGCTGATTACTCTGATAAGAACAAATTACTGGTAAGAACATGACAAACCGATTTCATTTCTGTCATTTCAATCACCTCGAAATGCAATTCGGTGTCTCACCAGTATTAACTAGTAATCTATTCTGTTTTTCTGTGCATTATTTTGTTCTCTTTTAAGCGTATATGTAAAGACATAGACTTTTTTACCATGGATTTAGATACTGAAATTCTCTGTAGTTATTATTTACTATTTTGTATGGTATTTATAGAAGTATTGTTGAGTATAGGTGTATTTTAGTTTAGACGAAAAGTACGTCAAACAAATGACTGAATGTATGCAAGTTTGATTGCATGTGAAAAGTATGGACAAAATACAGATCACTGCATACATCATGCATTTATACTGAAAATACCGATGTGTACGCACTTCCTTGAATTCACGTGAAATGCGAATGAGTGGATGCTTTATTTATTGACCACACGCAAAAAATACGTGGTTACGTATTTGTTTGACCTCAAGTGGAAAGCCATTTTTGGATCAGTCCAGCTATTTCTGATCGGGTTAAATAAGTAGTAGAAACAAAATTATTGTGTTTTTGTAATTTCTGTCTCATAAACATCTCTTCACCCATTTGTTTTTATTCTGGACTCTTTTCTAAAATATCCCAAGGTAGATTTTGTTAATACATTTTTTTTTCCTGTAAATTTTGAGAGAGTTCAAATTAAATTTGCTCTATACGCCTAGGAGATGTGTATTGCAGTTACTGTAATTTGATGGTAATTTCGTTAATAATGGATGTTTGTGTCGAAATGATACACATAATTTAACCTAACCTGGTATTTCTTAGATATGTATTTCTCGATTTATTTTGGATGAATTTAGTCAAATAAATTTTGATTACAAGCAATATCAAGTTATTCATACCGATTCAGACAATCCATGTATGGATATTTCTAAGATACTTTGGTACTACTGAAGCTATACTACAATGAATGACGGAATGTGTTTCCCTGTAGTATAGTATCAATAAAGATTGATCCGAAACGGATTAAATTCCAGTGGTTACGCTATCATCTTGTCAAGAAAATCTAAATGATTATGTCTTTTTTTTGTTTTTTAGAACCTTTGGAAAATGCGAAAATTTCGGGTGCCATTACGTTTTCTGCTGAAACGATCCGGTACTGTAATTCTGCGATATGGTCGGCCAGTGTTAAAAAGTGAAGTGCTTGGTCGTGGTTTAACGGTTTGCTTCCTCTTATATCCGTTCTTTTTTTTGAGTTTTGTTAGCATTTAAATTTTAAATTTAAAAGGAATGGGTGAGAGATTTTGATTTCAGCGAAGCGAAGATAGAAATAGTTTAATCTGTTTTTTGGGTATTATTGGGGAAGACGTGGTAGATGAAGTAAAAAGGTATTTAAATTTTGTATGTTACTGACGAAATATCATAATATCATTGATCTGCAAATGGGACCTTTCATTCTTTTCAAGACTATGCGCTATCTGTCTCAGTTTTGTTAGTTAAAGATGCCATATATATATATATATATATATCTTTTGAGTTAATATAAAGTATGGAATATCTTTTTTCTGAATCCTTTTTCTGTTATTCTCATTATTTTTTAAGCTCTGGGGGCGAATTATAATACGACCGCTTGCGTTAACAGGTTATCAGAAGAACTGGAGAAATAACCATTTATTAGGTATTAATCGGCGATACACTTCTCTATTGAAAATTTATTCTAACCTTGAAGTTTCGGAAAGGATTAAGGTATATCACTTTTTTATTTATACTTATCAAGAAGTAAAAAAAAACTATTTAATTCATGAACCTGGTTATGTATAAGAGGATTTATCAGCGATGCGGGAAGAATAGATTTGTCAGTTGTAACAGGTCTCAAAAGTACTTCTAGGGATTTGTTCTTATTGATTCTATTTGAAATTTCCAGAAATTGAAGCTTTTTCTGGGCAATTTTCTCACTGTCAATTGCCTTTACATTTCTTTGTTTCATTAATCTAATGGATTGTAACCTTTTTAGAAGTTATTTCTAACAAACGCGAGATATAACAGCGGATTGCGAGCTACGAAAGTACCCAACAGACTTGAGGATTATGAAATAGGTAAAGTACTATTAATACATATTACTGGAACAGTTCTAAATCTGACTGTCTTTAATTCGTCATTCACGCTTGTTCTTTGTTGCATATTCTTCTCTACTTAAAAATTAAGTAGTAGCAGTAGAAGAAGAGGAAACTATCTTACATCCATACCATCCACTGATTTCTTTAACTATAGTTTAGATCGTTTGAATGAATTTTATGCTGGGTAGGAAGCTGGCTTTAGGAGCTTCTGCTTGAAACTTATCCTTTTTTTTCACATCTCTACGTGAAACCTAAATATTTCTCCTAAGGAAACATTTGAATTCACTTTCGGATATCCAGTTTTCATTTTCCTTTTGAGTTGTCTAATCACTTATACTCCCGAAGTTTTTGGTTTTATTTATAGGTAGCAATATTGCTTGCGGTTGTGATGCTGCCGTATATGAAGCGCGTATACGTAAATTGGAGAAAGCTGAGAGGCTTCCTTCCAGTATTTCTGCAAATTTACCCTTCACTTCATCTTTTTTGGAAAGAAAACAGTCGGTTACGGAGGATCCTGTTGTCGTTAGTTTTTTTTTTTCCTTTCTCTAATATTTTTAACTACTAAGTCTTTAAAAAGTCTTGTCAGCGCAGCAGTAAAATAATATGTTTATCTTTGAATATCCAAAGTGTTCGAATCCGAGGATTTATAAGATTTACAATGCTCTGTACTGAAATGCACTTGTTAATAAAATATATTGTTTCAACGTAGTTATTTCTTCTTTAATATTCGTTTTGCAAGTTTCTCTAAATTGAAAAACAAAAAAAAAAAAAAGCGATATTTTATGACGCATTACAATAGGCATACCCATATGCACTGAAAATAATGTATAATTATGAATTCGATGCATCAGAAAGACATCTGTGGATGGATATGGGTACCGAATTAGTGCCATTAATCGAAAGACCTCCAGAGCTTACTGGTTATATGGCCAAGTGCGTTAGCTTTTCCCAGTTAATTCGTATGTTCCTTATTTGAAAAGTGTGTATCATGAAATTCATATTAGCTTATAAAATGCATATTGGTTTTTCATTAAGTATAAGAAAGAGTTAGAGTCACTTGATAACACTTTGCATCTTAGAGGATATTGAAAATTAAAAATTTTTGCAGTATGAGCTTTTTGCCGCATGCGCATCCGAATATAGTGCAAATGTATAAGGCATTTACGGACTGCATGCCAGTACTGGAAGATGCTCGACGTTTATACCCGGAAGCTTTGCCAACAGCTGATTTTTATGAATTAATTGTTGATGAACCGAGAACTTTATTTATAGTTATGAGAAGGCAAATAACTTCCGGTACTTCAGTAGGTTGCAATATTTAATGTTCTTGACCTGACTTTTATATAGTATTTCTATTGAATTTTTTGCTGATATTGGCCTTTTGCTTATTTTATAATGAAAGTGACGGGTCAAAAAAAAAGCGAAATTCTTATTTTTTTTTAGATGGGAAAATTTCGTTCACTTCTATTTTCGGAATCGTATTACCAGGAATTTAAAAAAAATGATGCTTCAGTTTTCAGGTACCGAATGACCTTACGAGAGTACGTACTTACGCATAAAAGAAATTATTGGTTTGGTAAAGTTATGTTTGGACAACTCCTGGAAGCAATTGTTTATCTCTACAGTCATCGAATCAGTCATCGCGATATAAAATCAGACAATATTCTACTCGATTTTGACTCCGATGGCAAATTTTTCATTGATTTTTCTTCTTCTTATTTAACTAATCCTAAAACTGAAGTACATCGGAAATTGTATTTTTTTCAGTGAGAAATTAGCACCCCACACTTTTATTTTCAAGAAAAAGTACTCTTTTTAAACGGTAATTTTCTTATATTGTAAAGTCGCATCCAGGAAACTTCTTCCCTTGTCTTTCAAATATACTATAAGAACAAAACAACCTATTTAGATGATGTTCCACATTTGGTATTGAGTGATTTTGGTTGCGCATTAGCAACGGGAATCTGGAAAGTACGTTACGATACTGATACAGTCTATCTTGGAGGAAATTTGGCACTAAGAGCTCCAGAAGTAATGGTTTATTTGATGTTCGATCGTTTCTTCAAAGAGTTATTTAACACTGAAATTTTTTACGATTGCAAAAAGTCCAAAATTTAACAATTTATGATATTCAGTTGTCATCTCTTTCACATATCGCTTGAAGTGCTCCTCACATAATATATCATCCAGTATGATTTCATATAAAATCTTTTTATTGATGCTGTCCAACTTTCTTCCCTTTCTAGAAAGATTGGTATCTCTCATTTAGCTTCCACTGAGTTTTGAAGTTGGAGTTGATAATGGTATATTAAGATAGTAGTGCTCCCAATATCTTATTGTGCCAGTTTTAATTTCACGTAACTAATTGCTGTTTCTCAGAAAATTAGTTCCTTCGTTAAGAAGCCTGATGAAAATATATCAAATTTCCAGATTCGTTGTGCTCAACCAGCTCCGAACAATTGGGTTGATTTTCATATGGCAGATCTTTGGGCTGCTGCTACAATTGGATACGAAATTTTTACCAGGCAACAGTTTCTTTTTAAAACTAGCGGATTAACTGACATACGAATTCAAGAAATCCAAGCAAAGTGACTCTATATATCCTATATCACCGTCATCAGACATGCAACAGTGATTATCAGTCGTATAATATGTAGAGGGAATTTTCTAATGCACTGTAAACTCAGAAATTATTACCTAAATTTAGATTGTATTTTCCCAAATTAGTTTATGGTTTCTTGCAAAAACTTTGCCATTTAGATTATTCAAAATTCTTCGCGAAAGGAACAAAATAAAACGTTTAAATTATTTGCAGAACAAATCCATTCTACAGTCGTATGAGAAGTGATCAATATGCGGAATGCGAACTACCACCATTGCCGAAGAAGATGGATTGTTCGGTAAAAGCGATTATTCGAAGTATGCTGCAAATTGATCCGAATAAAGTAATGCATGTTTTAAAATGTTCATAAAATTACAGAGGTTGAGACGGCTGGTTGAGTTATATTCTCATTTATCCACAGTCATAAAGATGATTAAATAACAATCTCTATAAGGGTAAATTGTGAATAGACGTTAACTTTATCTATTTAAATTTGATTACATCATTTAAACACTTTTCAGCGGCCAAATCCATCTGTTGCGGCAAATGTTCTTAGTATATCGTTATTTCGCTTTGGTCATAATTTGCGGGAACTCTTTGATGATTGTGGTTTTGATGAAACACTATTTGGCGGAAAAATTAACGATCTGAAAAATGCTGCAAGTAAAACTCTAAAAGCGGTAAGTATTATCAGATGAAATGTTAGAAAATCAAACAGATAAAGTCGAGGGCCAACTACTGACATAACTTGAGTCTGATTAAATTATTCGAACGAATTCGCTCAGCCGATGATGAAGTGAAAGTAGGTTGAAATGTGGTAAATGTAGACTTGATGGTTGTTATATTATCTGTTCAACTTAATGTTTGACTCCTTGATAATTTAATGTTGTAAAATTGGATTTTCTAATTTTTTAAATTGGTGTTAAAAGTCATATCAAGCTCTTGAGAAATATTACAGCAGTATTTTAATAAGTAAATTTTCTGCCAAATGGAATTCTTGAAACTTGCATAGGCATCATTTTCAAAATATTTCATCAAGTTGATTTTTTCTTTTTAAATTTAGCTCGAAGAAAAGGTGATAACATCAGTGAATGATTTCGTTCTTCTGTTTGCTGCGGAGACAATATTGGCTCGAAATATTCATCCAAATGTAATCAGTACAGCGGAATTGCAGGTTGTTACTTAAAGTTTGTCAATATGAGAATACTTGAATTGGCAATGGAGACTTTTCTCTTTGTTGCGGTGACAGTTTGATTTGAAGTATTCATCCAAAGTCAGAGCTAGTTTTTCCTTTTGAAATTTTTACTTCCTTGACTCAACTGAAAAAATATATTTTGTATGACTAAAGTTCTGTTGAGAATTGATAAATAGTTAAAATAAAAAGAAATATTTGCTGAGTCAGTATGGCATTGATTAACTGTAATGTGGTTATAAGCCGAATAATATACACTCTTTTTTACTTCAACAAGCCTTATTAATCTAATTATATGATGTCAAGGTTAAGGAGTAAATTGTAATGAAAAAAGGAACGGAGATTCCGTGCACAGAGAAATGTGATTAACTGCAGTTTCATGTCGCATATAATAAAGTTATGAATATATTTCGATTTTGACAAAATCGGAAGTTCTTTTTTGATTTGCCCGAATTATTTAAGAAGAGACGTGAAGTTATACTAAAAGAAGTTCAACAAAAAATTATTCCGAAATACATATAAAGAGTTATTTTAGAAAAATACCAAAAGACTTTTCAAACTAATCACACGGAATTCCCCGTCATAAACATAGAGGTCAATTTTAATGAGTTAGGTGCATCGAAATTTTCTAAAGCAAATTTTAAAATGAAAGGAAAAGTTAAAAAGTGAATCTCATAGTGTTTGTCAAATAATGCTTCTTTCCACAGAATCGGAGATTATCTTGCAAAATTTTACTTATTTTATACTGTAGTACGCCTCACATATTGAAATACTTGTTAAAGTAAGTTAAGCATAAGTTCTTTCGTTTTTTCTGTTTTTTTTTTTTTGTGTTTGAAGTGAATAATTATCACTTTACTTTCAGCTGCGTGCAACATTTCTTTCTCGAATTGATCACGAATGTATTTGGTCAGCTTTAAGCTATTTCTACAACAGAGACAATTTATCAGGAAATCATCCGACTGTTTTTACTACAGAAATGGAAGATTTAACATTTGCAGCTGGCGATGCAATAAATTCTGTAAATAATCTTATAAACCCATAAATTTCTCTGCTTTTTTCTATTTAGCGTTTAGTAATAGAATCCATTATCGAGGGCGGGAAGTCACTGAGAACTCTAACATAAAAAAACTGGATAATTCTTGCTTAGATACACTTTGCTAATGGTCCTTTAGATAGTATGAATCGTAGCTAATAATCCAGTTGTTTCTTAAGACTGTTAGATGAGGGTCGGAATCCGCTGATAAATATTTCGTTTTAGTGGAAACTTCTAGTCAATTATGTATTTAGACGACCAACTCATTAGTTATACAACTTTTTATGAATTTCTTTTGTACTTTTAATAACAAAGCTGTGCAATTTTCTTTGTTTTCATTGATCTCGTAATACACGAACTTACAGTAGAAGACATAACGATTACACTTTATATTTTGCATATAATTTGTAAAAATAATTCTTGAGATCAGCGGAAATAACGATGTCAAATATTTTGTAGTGTTGCATGTTTCAGGTCAGCATATCTATATTATATCTATCATTAGCTCGCAGAATAATGTTGTGAGATCGTTTTATCTTCTTCAGGTCAGCTTGTATTCTTAGTTCCCCGTTTCACTGAAAATAGTATTTATGGTTGTGATTTACGAATAACTGATGCTTTTTTGACTATTTCACATAGTAATATAGTAAAGAGATATATATTAATTTTTCACTTATCTTTGATTTTATTTTCTTATTTACTTCGGTGCATTTATAATTGTTTTTGGACCAAATGACCTGAAGAAGGTAAAAAGTGTTTAAAATTACATATTATGGATTTTTTCGATGTTTGACGGAAGTTTTATGATAGTTTCACTTCCTTATCACAGATTCTTTGATTACAATATGTAGTTATTTTGTGCATTTCTAGATTTTGACCATTTCAGGACACTGAGGTGCATTTCTTGTTCGTGTAAATTTACTTTTTTCTCTCCAGGTTTATTATTAGCTTCAAAGATAAGAAATTGTATCTTTTTGTACAAAGTCAAAGGTCATTTTTATGCCCTCCAACTTCATTTTTTCTTTTCTTTTTTTTTTTGTTGCGGTTGATATGAGTAGATGTTGTGCGTAACAGATTTGGAATGAAGCATTCACTTTGAGATATTCGTTCTATGAAATTCGAGGATATTTCTCCTTGCGGTTTTGTTTATGAATACTTTTTTATTAATTTATTTATTAATATTTTCTATACGTCATATTACTACATAGTACTACTGATATAAAACGGAACTTACCCATCTATTGATAATGTTATGTTACTCACCTTCTTTGTTGATTAAACAACTTTCCCAAAAAATTACTCAGTGAAAACCTAGGCTACTGTTGTTCTAGGTTGATTGTTATCACTTTTTTAAATCATTAGTTTAGTAGTTGTTCTGTTGCTGATATTTATTTCATTCAGTTTTTCTTTTTTTTTTCTTTACGAGACTAGTCTGAAGTCATCGTTTGGATTATTTTAGTTTACTTGCAATAACTGTAACTCTTTTTCAATATATTGATAAAAAAGGATTGCTGATATTCTGACTGTTTAATAGAAGGATCGAGGAAAAATTTTCTTTTTCCTTTGGGTTTGGCTATGCTTGTTTGCTCTATCTTGAATAACCGAGTCTTGACGATTGTGATATTTAAATAACTTCATAAGATTTGCTCGGTTTTCATCGTTTTCCTTATATAATGGATGAGAGAAAAAGGTCAGGAGTTTGAGTGAGAGATTGAACCTCGTCAAGTAGTTCGAATGACTGAATTACGAGATAGGCACAATACCTTTGATGATATTGCAAAAAATTTTTGCATGTTGCATAATGAAAGTATAGAGTATTCAAAAGTTAGCAATATAGTTGAAATAATGTAGATTAGTCAGCGACAGTTGGTACTTCTTAGTTATAATTGAACATATTGGAAGAATTATTTTTTTGAATATCAAGCTATATGTTGAACAAATTTGGTGGGGTCATCATCGAAAGAATCGAGAAATAAATTATATTTTATGCTTAGAAATTACAGTCAACAATAAGTTCAATTTTTGGGGTCGATATCATGATAACTCTACTAGTATGACACATGTTATGGAGGGTATTTCCAGAGCAAAATTTCAAATATGTTTGAACGCATAGGATGGCATATTTGAAATATCAGATGATGTTTAGCAAATTGAAATAGTAGCAACTGTGCTATTGTTGGTAATAAATGTGGAAATTTCGAAAAAAAAGTGAACTTAATGGATCTTCAACTCAATTGATTAGTTATTTGATCAAATATCTATTTCTTATTTAATTAGTCGTCCAAGATATGAACCGTAGTAGTTGGAATTAAAGTTAACAGATATAATAGAAATGCTTTCAAACAATACAAAAATTAACAGTTCTAATACATGTTGAATTTTCTGCTCACATTTTATTGCATAGTAATTCTCAAATAGTAAATAGAAAATGCAAAAAAAAAAAAAAAATAACGATTTAATCGAAAGGAACTGAAATATTGAACACATTCTTATTCTTTCATCATCTACAGGAAATGATAAGATATCCAAGAAATAATGAGGAAGTAAAAGATTTAAGAGGGAAAAAATTGAAAAAATCCAACTAATTAGTCAGTGGATGTGATGGAAATAACGAAGTGGACTGATAGTTTAAATAGGAATGAAATTTTCGGCATTTTTAGCAGGTAAATTTTGTTGAAGAGAATGCGAAAAAATGATGATAAGGAAAGAGCATTATAATGATAATAGTAGAATTATTAGTACTACTGATGATAACATAGATTGTTTCATATCAGCAGCCATCCTCACCGAAAATGCCTTTTCAATCGAGCAAAATTTCAGTTCAGTTCATTTTGATAATTTGCAATATTCAGTAGTTATTACAAGCGACCAATTAAGGAAGCCTATTTTATTGTGTTGTTGTTGTTGTTGTTGTTTGTCATTGTTGTTGTTTGTTATTGTTGTTATTGTTATTGTTATTATTGTTTATCATTTATCACTTGTCGTTTATCATTTATCGTTTATCGTTATTATCAGTGGAAAGAATGGCATAAGCTGAACTAAATGAGTCACATGTAATTTATCAAAAATCATACGGTTTAGCTCGTGCATCATAATGTTACAAATAACTATGTAAAGGTAATTTTTGGAACTTTTTTACGGTAATGTAATGGTAATTACGGTAATGTAACGTGAAAATCAGCAGCCTATGTTAAGGATCACTTTAGGGATTCGGTTGCATTTGTTGAATTTTAAAATTTTAGCTTTTTTTTCTTTTGCAGAATCATTTAATATTGAAACCATTCAATGATAGAATGGAGATGGTATGTTATGATAAGTGATTAAAATGTAAAAATGACTGATAACATGTGAAAATACGGCCGATGATGTTATAAGTCATGTGAAAATGATTTATAACATCGCCACTCCTATTTTCCAATATGAAAAAGCAATGTTGAAACAGCACAAAAAAAAAAAATTTTAGCATAACCCAGTATACTGTGTCAGATAAAGTTAAGATGATTAACCTTACATTATATTTCAGTATAATTTTCCTCTCTTGATAGTCTTCCTTTCTAACTTGATTACATTTCAGGAAAACAGTTATGTAATTTAGGGTGAATTTTTTTGCCTGTCAAAAATAGTAGATATTCTATTATCTCTAAAAATTACTTCGTTTCTTTTAGTCATCCAATATTGATAATAATTTCTCGAGATCAGAGTTGAGAGTGTTCTCAAAAAAGAGCTGAAAATTCGCTAATCATGTTTTAATTATTTCCATTCATCTACTTGGTGATTATAATTTGCATTATTTACAACAAGCTTGTTTCGTATTTCACTTGCATAATTCTTTTTTACCCAATTCAATTAATTCTGTCGAAAATCTCGAATTTAACTTCTTCGAATCTCGAATAAATTGTTTGATCTAAATATGACTGCTTGTTCGGTCATTGGCCTCAACAGTATAATCATAGTCTTCCTTTTGACGCTCTCTTTTAATTTAGTTCAACTGTACGTCTTTTAATACTCTTATTGTGTCATTCAATATTTTACAGATGCATGAACAACGACCAGTGACGAGTGACAATTTCAACATTTCGGAATCATCATTACCTGAACCTGATCGGTTACTTTTTATGCAATTGAAAAAATTTTAGTTTATGATAATTTAGTTAAAGATATTTAAAAGTAAAGAAAAGAATGAAATTTTTAGAAGTACAACAATAGATTTTGGGATTAGTTTCTGCTGGTATTTTCGAATATATCAAAATATAAGGAGCATATAATTTCTGATAAATTCGAATATAAATATTTCATCGTAAAATAGAAATACCAATTGCTCGATATTTTAAAAATATATGTTTTTTAATAGTTGGAGACATGCTTTGACTAGAAATATCTTCATCTTGCATACAGATTAAAACAAAAGAGTTTGGTATTTGGCTATCGTGTTTTTTTCCAAATAATTGATGATATTTACAGTTATATCCGATTTGTAGATAGGATGCTGGAAGCAAGTTACTTTAAAAGCTCAAAAAAAGAAATCCGTTATTTTGATGTCATTATTCAGCACTATTTAAATATTGATTACTCAATCAAATTATCAATTGATATCGTTATTGTCTTAACATAAGTCTAAATCAATACTTGGCTTTTTTCAATCAGTAGAAAATATTTTTTCTTATGGTTAATATTCTAATCTTATTAATACTAATTAAGTAACGCTGAAATGTTGCCATTCATACAGACTTATTTTGTGTCTATTTTTTAAGAGTCATCCAAATTTTAAACAAGATTTACGATTTATCCCATAATGATTACAATTTCGACTAAAGGAAACAAAAAGGAAAAAAAAGTGTTTTCACAGGATGAAGCAAGATATCCTGGAAACTTTGTCCGAATCAGATCGTAGTGATGGTGAGCGTCTACGTCGACATTTGCAATTCTTTTTCATGGATCCAATAATGAAATGGAAAATGCGCCATCAATTTCCGTTTAAATTAGCCTTACAGATTTTCAAAATTATTTTTATTACTATGCAAGTAAGGACTATATTTTTTTGCATAATTTGATAGATATATCGAAATGCTAGGTTCAGTTTTAGGGTTAATATTGATAAGATATTTCTCTTCACATTTACATTCATATTTAGCTATTCATTTTTCCATGCTTTTGTTCTTACTTTCATATTTGTTCCCTTCATATTGATTGTCTTACATGTGAAGATTGGTAATAATTTCCTGATTGTTTTGATTTGCAAATAGAATGAGTTTGAGAGGATATTTTTGAAATTTGTAAAAAAGACATAGCAGAAGTAATTGGAATTTTGTTTGATTTATAGAGGCGATATAGAAATTAGACTATTTTTATGTAAACGTTGAAAAGGGTTTTTTCAATTTATAATTTTAAACATTTTCGCATTAAATCTAAGAAGTATTCAATTTGCATAAAAACTTTCGAATCGTTTAGAAAGAGGCAAGACTTAAAATTTCTCAAAATTATTGCAAAATAGGATGTTAAACAGAATTATGAATGAAGTAAAAAAAATACATATAATCCTTTGTTATGAGTGAATTAAAGCATAATCTTTTAAAAATTAACATCGAAAATTTCCTATATTAGAAATAAATCAGTAACCATATCCCGTAACACCGAAGAAAAGGATGGAAGGAAATGAATGTACTGCTTTATGCGCTTCCATTTTTCAATCAGTATGTTTAAATGACTTATGACTTAGGTGGTAACGAGATGGTTAGAATTTTACAGTTATTCACCAGAAATATTAGGTTTTAGTTAACATTTCAGTAAATCGAGAGCATTGTATGGATCCAAATGATCACTATATAATCAACAGGAAACCATGAATCATCACTTATAGCAATTAATTAGATTTCATACAGTTGCTATCAATTACTTCTCATTAGCTGAGTAAATTCATGATAAATATTTCTTTTTTTTCATTTTTTTATTTCTTTTTACAGCTAATACTTTTTGCCGAATTGCGTATGTCACATATTGATTTTATGGATGAAACACATACAGTAATCAGGCATAAATTTTTGAAAAATTGGAATGCTGAACGTGACACACTTATTTATCCACCGTCATCTGGTCGATATTCCGTTTACACCGGCACTGATATTATTGACCAATTTGCATTTATGGTTGTTGCTGTAAGTTTCTTTTCCTTTTTTACGATTGTAAATTATTTGTAATTTATAGGGACATGAAATTTTTCGAAAACTGTCAAGTATGAATGCTGATTTTATGCAATTTTGGGTACTAATTTCAAGGAAATGACTTAAAAGTTAAATTTTAAATTAAAAATCATGTCGATGCAAAGATATTTGTTCGTTTCAGTATTATTCAATCAAAGAAGATTCATTCGCCAGTTTTTCATATGATACATTAAGAGATCAAGGTATCTATCCTTCGGTTCAAGTGGATGGTCCGAAATTTGTTGATAATATTTCTATTGATGATATACCACCAATCAAGTTTTGCTTGAAAAAAATTGCTAATGTGACGGTTTTCAATAACACTTATGAATTCGACATTTCGGAAATCAATGGTTAGAAATCACTTTGATCGAAATTGATAAATGATATTTCAAATTTTAGACTTTTTTCGATTTCGGAATGTTTTAGCAACTAGATCCAGTTTTCCGCCTTTGTAAATCCTTTATGTGGACCTATCTTTTAGCTGTAGCTTAAAAAATGACAAAATAATTTGAAACATAATTTGAAACACTAAGTTGCATTCCGTATTTCAATATGCTGTCTTTCAAGATATTGGAAAGTTTCCTTTTTGGTTCCCACGGTTGTTGCACTCTTTTATATCAAAATGAAATATTGATTAGAAAGGTCATCACTGAAAAGTAAACATTTTTCCAGCAGGTAAGTTTACCGACGAATCTTATTACCACTGTAACCTTTCTTAGTCGTTTGTTCGAATACATTTATAGATTGTGTATTATTGAAATTTAAAAAGGACGAAGTGAAAGAAATCCGTCGAAATGCAAGCTCATTGAGAGGATTCCTTGAAAAACGCGGGATCACATTTAAACCGGAAGATGCTTTGATCATATCGGAAGGTGTATTGAGCTTCAATTTACGAACCATTCATTTTAGTACAATTTCGACTGATGAACGACCGGAATGCTTTTTAATTCAGGTTAAATTTTATCAGTTCTTCATCAAATTTACCACCTTTGCTCGTTGCTGCTGTCTCAAATTACAATGATATTAAATGATTGTTACAATGATATTTTAAAAATGGTATTTTGAGCCACAAACCTCACGTGTACCATACTTTCCATTGGGATTTCATTTCATTCATCTGGAAATAAACGATTATCGGTAGCAACTGTTAAAAATAAATTGACTGCATGTAAATCACTAAAATCCAGTAGCAAACGATACCATCTTAGTCTTTTTTTGAAATTTTAATCTTCACTGGTATGTGCTGATTTTGACCATTTAGGTTTCAATTACTTTCGACAATTCCCGACATACTGGCCAAGTATACATTTCTCTATCAACAGTTATCAGTTATGTTACTCTCTGCAATGGTCGAGTTATACATGGTATGTTTCAGTTGTCAAGTATTCTAAGTGGTTTTTTAGCTTGTTTTTTCTTCATAAAATATTAAGTTCCGTCTCCCTCACATTTGTCTCTATTTTCCGTTTTTTGGAAGAAAGATGAGCTATGGACACCTGAATCATTTATTATAGTTAGAGGAAAGAAAAAATGAATGAAAATCTTGGCTATGTTTAGTTTGCTAAAAGGCGCGAATTTAAACATCCTTGAAGACGAATGTGAAAAACATGGTATTATACAAGTACTAGAAAAGATCTGAAAATGATATGACTTGCAGTAATGATAAGAGACAATTTGATATGTTACAATATCATTTTCAGTGAATTTGAGCACATATATATAATAAGAACATAATATACGAAAATATGACATTTATCATTTCAGGAGATGGTACATTTACAGTAAGCGTTGTCATATTTGTTATTGATGTTCTGGTTTTGTTAATGTGTATTGCCTCGCTAATACTATGTTGTCGTGCGCTTCTTCGGGCACATCTCTTGAAATTGGTTAGTTTTGCAATATTTTATACTGCGTTTGGAATTTTACCTGTAATATCCATCCATCCTTTACGATTATATATTTGCATATAAAATTGGTTATGTCATCCTTATATTTAGTGGTATTATCATGTTATACCTTCGTTCCAACCAATTTTTTTATTCGACATTTATTTACAGTTTAATTGCTATTTGCTGTTTAATAATACGTATTAAAAAATACTGAAAATAATGAATTCTCCGTAACGAATTCTTATCAACACTTATGTATCAGTTTTTATTTAACAAATTTTATTTTATTTAACACGTTTTTATTTTACGTATCATTTTTTGATTTTTGCTAACTTATCATAATTTAGGCAACAGTACAGTTTGTTCGAAATACTCTGGGACGTGAGTTGATGCTAAGTGATCAGTTGGAATTCTTGAATTTTTGGTACGTGATGATTGTTATAAACGATATATGCATTATCTGTGGCACTTTATGCAAAATCACAATTGAATTCAGAGTAAGCCCTTTCACCATTTTATTTATTGTTCGGAAGCCTCATCAGAGACTTCATCAAGATAAGAGATAACAATCTTAAGACATATTGAAGTATTGCGAAGAAATTTCGAAGAAATTTTCTTTGAAGAAATTTTAAGAGAGCTTCAGGTCTAGTCACTGACAGCTTGGCTAGAGGAAAGATTTGATGAAGTGACCAGAAAGCTGGCTTCTAAAGCGCGAAATCCTAACGGTTTTATGATGTAAAATTTGAACTTAAAATACTACTTTTTAATGATACAAATTTTTACGAACGTTCTAGCATTATCATATTTCATTGAGTAACTTTGTAGGCTGATTTCCAGCTCTTCAAAAAGTTGATAATGTGGAGTGCCTTTTTACTAGTGTCCCAAATTCCATCTAGATGGTGACATGTAAATTCTGTATATATTTAACCGAAAAAAATTGTCATTGCAGATTTTCTGCAACTTTTCAGGATTTCGATAATGATCTATTTACCACGTCTGGTATATTACTGGGCACCGGTGCCCTTCTAGTTTATGTCGGTGTACTGCGTTACTTCTGTTTCTTTTCAAAATATAACGTTAGTTTCTTTTCATTGAAAATTGTAGTAATAAGCTGTTTTATTTTTTGAATTTCTTCTTTTTTGTTTTTGGGATATTGATTTCAGATATTAATTTTAACAGTAAAGAAATCGTTGCCAAATATTCTTCGCTTTATGTCTTGTGCAGCTGTTCTTTACGCCGGTTTTCTTATCGCCGGATGGGTTATAATTGGACCATATAGTTTAAAGGTTTTTTATTTTTCTTTTAAATAGTATTCTTCTGAAGTAATGCACAAAGAACTATGTGATATGTTATTTCAAATTTTCACATTGCACTCGTCAAACAAATTGTCTAACTGATTATTCGAAAATGGAATGATTGCAGTCGAATACAACGACATGAGCATTTCTTGAAAGACATTATTGACGTCGTGGTGAAAGCTATTTCGTTTTACTTGCCTATTGATATGTTGTTGGTACTTCGAACCGTTTAATGATATGGGGTCAAGTGTGACATTTTCTTTTAGATATACTAGAAGCTGTAGGAAGTATGTCTCGCCTAATTCACTCCATACACCAAATTGTTCTTCCTTATCCGGTCAATTTGAGCTTTTCCATCAGAGCCGGAATAATTTCAGTTTCGTACGTTAGGAAAATCATCAGAAGCGTTGTTTTCATTATTAAATGGTGATGACATGTTCGCTACATTCTTTACTATCAATGATTCTAATACAATTATTAAAATATTTGGCACAGCTTATATTTATATATTTGTATCTTTATTCATTTATGTAGTTTTATCGCTATTCATTGCTATTATTATGGATGCTTATGAAGTCATCAGGGTATGTCTCCTAAATATTTTCTATTTTAACATATCCTCTGAATAATTCGTTTTTTTCTTTTTTTTTCATTTAACGTCTCTGATTTTTTTTTTATCAACTAATGACTAATGGCGGCAGGTTAGATTTAAAAGTATAGTAGTGAAAGAAGACTATGTTCAGTGGTTTAGTAAAAAATAAATAAGTTACTTCTACATCTAACCTGTCACCATTAGTCATTGGTAGTTGAAGGGAACAACGGAAGGTGCAAGGATACTTTGAAATCAAGCACTTATTCTATTCAAACTGAAAAATTAGAATGATAAATGTATCCTTCCAATAATTTCCAATATTGTAATGTTTACAAACATTTCTTGTTACCTTGTGGATATTTTATATTTTTGAAGATTATAGGATCGCTATGGAAGTCAAGAGAGTGAAGAGAAGTCATTATTGCAACTTCTGTGCGAAGGCGAATTACACGACTTAATGGATGCTGAAGAAAGACGCTTTCAGTATTCTTCAAGCAATTTGCTCAAATTAGGTGGAAGAATTCTTTTCAACTTTGTACAAGAAAATAACATTATTTCTTTCTAATTTAACCAATTTATATAAAATATGGCAGGATATACTTCGAGGATTTTCAAGAATTTTAAAGTAAAACAGCTCTCTGACTCATATGTACATATCGATTAAAGTATTATAAGAATTTTTTTTTTAATTCCTTTTCGGATTTCCCATGCAGTAATATCAGATTATACAACATTGTTACCCTGCAGACTGTTGTCATGAGAATAATACCAACTTCTTATCGTTAGTTGTACCCTTTTTTTTTTGTTATAGATTGTTGTGATTTGTTCCATCGACTAACCAGACGATTGCGAAACCATTCTCGTATTATGCAACAGGAACCATCATATAATTCATTTGAAAATTCAAACACATCAGTCGATAATCATGTTGTAAATACATGAATTTATTAAATGAAAGGTTTTTCCCCATGTTGGTTGCCGGGTTTGAATTATAGATCGTGGAATTTTATTATGGATGTAAAAAAAAAAAAAATAATATTAACTGATATGAACTTATATCGAATAGAAGAAAAAAGAAATAATGAAACATCATCCATGTATGAGATGAAATTTGTTCAAATCAATATTTTCTGCAGTGATTGTAAACGCATATTGTATAATTAGACCAAATATTTAATCTGCATTTATTTTTCACAATGTGCATGCAATGCACAACTAATGCATGCTTTGCATGTCTTATCTTTCCCTTATTATATACTCGTATATCACAAAATTTCATTCACTGTTCTTTTTTTCTTTTCTTTTTTTCTGTCACAGATTTCCTACTCTCTTTATATCATTTTTACCGTTTTTAAACGAAATGAAATAGAAATGATTTGATTTATTTTCTATGCTGCTTGTATATTTATTAAATTACTTATTGCTACAATTGTATATAGATTATAGAATATTTGTAATTTTATCCAAAAGTTTCACTTTCACAACTAACAATTTTATTGAAATTTTATGCATAAATTGTTAACACATAATGATTTATATTTTCTAGAAATTTCATATTATCATGGTGATATTTCTTTTCATTTTTTTTGACTAATGATCGATTATTGATTTATTCGTTATAATTGTCGTTTAAACTTTCGAATGAAATATTATTTATTATATGTTTATACGTATAATCTATTTGTCTTGAATTTATTCGATTCCTAATTAACTTGATCATATACGTGTAGTTATTCCTTTATAAATAAAATAGCTGAATAAATTATTTCGATTGCTTTTATACATACCATTCAATATTTCCTCATTTCCAATACTTATTAATAATCATATTTTTATATGATTATTAATGATTTTTTGAAAGAAAAAAAAATTAAATTTCAAGAAAATAAAGGAAAATTTTATTCCTCTCCTATTGAGGAATAAACGAATTGAGAATAAAACTGAAATAATCGAATTCAATCTGTCATTCATTTAATTTCGTTACTGTTTAAATGTATATGATAATTAAATGTGTCAAACTTGACTTATTCTTTTCCACTAAAAACTATTCCAGTTTTATCTCTTCTTCCCTCTCTCCCTCCTTTCTTTTCTCGTTCTTTAAGAGAGAGAGGGAGATTAGCGAGAGAAAGTTAAACTTTTATAAGGAGAAAAAAGTTTCACTGCTTTCACAAATGATTTTATCCCTTTGATTTTTTCAATAAATCAGAAAAAAAGATAGAAACAATTACAATATGCATGAAATTGTAAATACAAAAAGAGATAGAATGAGGTCATTTCTCGAAATAAATTCATCTTATGCTAAAATAAAAACATCTTCCAATTTTTATTTAAGTGTCACATAGCTTTGACAATTTAACACCCTTAAGATATTTCATAAATTATATAAAATAATCGCAAGATGAATTAGTCATTTCTCTGCTTAATATTTTACCCACCGTTCTCGGTAATACTTATTCCCCGTCACATTGTATCGATAGAAGGTAAGATGTAATGAGTAATTTTCATAGTATTATATGTATTAAGATAAGAACAATTCTCTTTTTTTTCTTTACCTCCTTCTCTCTCTCTCTCTCTCTCTCCCCCTCTCTCTCTCTTTCTTACTATAAGAGAATTACTAGGAAAATAAGAATGTTTTTAGTATAGCAATACCTGTCTTGTTATAATGTCAATAGAAATTCATTTGCCGAAATAGCTCAATCTTCTTTCATGGTTAATTTGACGAAAGAAAATTAAGAATTGTAATTATTCCTGATCGGAACAGGGCGGATTGAGTAAAACTTGTCGCAGTAATCCAGAATTCAGGATTTCCTGAATGAATTTAATTTGTTAAAATCAGTTTATAACTTGTTTTTATGTGCTCTCTTATCTCATTTTTTCCTCTTTCTTTTTTCTTTGAAAAAAATTTCAATTCCATTTCTTTCTCTAATTATTACATTTGTCAATGTTTTGAAAAGAGTCATAAATTCCATTTCCTCTCTTCGAGGACATCTTTTTGTAGAAATTCTAATCTTCTCTTTCTCTCAGAACAATTTTTCGGAAAATTAACCAAATAGAAACCAGAAAATGGTATCATTTGGCATATTTTAATCATTCTAGATGAGACATATTTAATCATTTTATCATTCATCATATGATATCTAATCCAATTCCTGATAACTGATAAGTGTATAAAAAATTATTTTGCATAAAATAAATGTAAGAATGTATGACATTTTTCCAACAATTTTTTTTATCACATTGTTAAGCCAATCAATATGATTAAACGGAATGGTTTAATGTTTATAATATTTTCAATTTTCTAATTCAAATTCGAATTTCAAATTTCGAATTTTACAATTTGTCATTTCTTCTTGCTATGAATTATTTGTTGTAAATTTGAAATAAATTCATACTATAAGTGAAATGGGTTTAAGATATTGATAATGCCTTATGGATCGTATTGTATAAAGATATATGAGATTAATTTTCGGATAATGAAATTATTTTTCGTTAAATTTTCTTTTTCCTCTTTTCTTATCTCTCCTCGTTGTTCATCATGAAATGACAACTTGCAATTTCAATTTTAACACATTGAAAGTTGTCATTTCGATATTTAAATGATTTTGATAACAACCGAACTGTCTACCATTGAAATATCGAAATTGTTGAATTTTTTAATTTTAAATTTTCAAATTCGAAATTTTTAAATTGTTAACATCAAATGCATTCTTTTTCTACCTTCTAGAATGAAATGAAATAAAAAAAACCAAAGTGGTCAATCATGATGAGGTAATTCGTGCAAAAATTTTACATTTAACCTGATAAAATGCAACAACATTTTATTGAGTCGAGATTCGAGAATTTTCTAGGTCAAAGTTTCGAGAAAAAAAAGTGGTAGTAGTAGTAATAGTGGTAGTAGTAGTAGTGGTAGTAGTAGTAGTAGTAATTCTTATAGTATCCTTCCTATATTGATAATATTAGTAACTGCAATAGTATTGATAGTAATATGTTGTTATAATGGTAGACAGGTTTATATCTCGAACAAGACAAGAGGAAGTTATGTTTTGAATGTAGAAGTGGAATATTAACCGCTTCTGATACTGTGATGACCCATAGATCGACCCAATTTGAAAAAAAAAAGAATGTGAAGAAATCACTTTTCTCTAGTTTTTCCTACAAATCATTTTAAAAAAAAATTAACAAAAAAAAAAAAAGGAAAAGAAAAAGAAAAAGATGAAACTTCACTCAATCAGACATCCATTCAAATAATACAGCTTTCATCCTTTCCTTTT